AGATGATCGGGGGGATGGAGCACCTCCCTTATGCAGATAGGCTGAGAGACTTGAGGTTGTTTAGCCTGTAGAAGAGAAGGCTCCAGGGAGACATTAGAGCAGCCTTCCAGTACTTAAAGGGGGCCTACAGGAAAGATAGGGAGGGACTTATCAGGAGTGAAGTGATAGGATGAGGGGTAATGGTTTTAAACTGAGAGAGAGTTGATTTAGATTAGATATTAGGAAGAAATTCTTTACTGTTTCCCAGAAAGGTTGTGGATGCCCCATCCCTGGAAGTGTTCAAGGCCAGGCTGGACGGGGCTTTGAGTAACCTGGTCTAGTGGAAGTTGTCCCTGCCCATGGCAGGGGGTTGGAACTAGATGATCTTTAAGGTGCCTTCTAACCCAAACCATTCTATGATTGTATCTTCTTTCTTTCCATCAAAAAAAGCTTTCCCTTTCAGATCCTGCACAGCCAGAGGGCAGATGTCCTCATGGTGGATTAATATTTGATGAGAGAACAAGTGTTTTGCAAAGTTCACTGCCTATTCCATAGAACGCACATATATCAGGCAGATAAATATTTGCACATAAGTCACACAGATAACTAAAGCTCATATATGTTGGAAATATAATTTTTAGCTTAAATAAGTTCGAAGCCTACTGAGGAATGTTGGAAAACTGTTAACTTCTGCAGTCTTCAGATTAGATCTTAGGGCTTGGGTCAAGCAAAGCACTTACTTAAGTATATCCTTACCTTTAGCCATGCAGGTAGTTCCATTGTCTCCAGTGGAGCCACTCCTTGTTCTCAAGCACACACATGGTGAAAGGCTTTGCTGGATCTAACCTGGACATAAGTTCACTGTTATCGTGGCTCTGTGTTGCTTTACCAACTATGATATATATCAATCGATATGAGTTTAATTTCTTGACCTGTTTACAAAAGTGGGAGGGTAGCACTATTTCACTAATCCTGTAAGTTTCATGTTTCAAAGTTTTGCTAAAGACTGAAGTAGAAAACCATGGGACTGTGATTCAGGAGCTTTTTTATTTTTTCATTCTGATACTGACTTGATGCATGACTTCAGATGGCTCCCTTAAGTGTGTCAGAGATTTCAAGTTTCAGAGCTTAGTACCTACCTGTAGAGGACTGCAGAACCCAGAGATAGAATGTAAAAGTCAACTTCCCCTGTTCCTTACACACTAGGCATTCCTACCCCACACCAAGGGAACTCCAGGGTAACAGCTGTCCTCCAAGAATATGATTTTACCATGAGACACGAACTTTGGGGGTCAAAGAAGGATCAAACCCACATGGGGAAACCATAAGCCAACAAAGTCATGTGTTTCCAAGTCCAGGTTCCTTTAGAGGATTAGTAGTTCCGCTCTGGATTTTTTTTTCCTCCTTTAGGATTTCTAATTACCTGAACTGAGTTTATCAGCCTGGTTATTTTTTTCCTGCTTGCACAACAACTTATTGCAGTAAGTCATTTGACTCAATACATGGCAGCAAGGTCTTTTAGGTGACATGGGTGATCACAGTCTGTTTATTTCTGACGTACAGGTTATAATTAATTATTTTAAAGGAAAGCTGATTTTGAGTTCCCTGAAATGAATAAATACACTGGTAGGCAAGTGGTGTGTTCTGTCATTGCATTAATGAGCAATGAATCCCAAGCAGGCGGGGAAGTACCTCTGGGGGCTTCAGGCTCCTGTGCTGATCCAGTGACAGCACATGTGTACTTATTTTTAGCTGCAGACACCCCTTTCTACTCTGTGCACCAGAGGCTGAGGCATCTTCAAGGCCTGACTTCACTCATCACCCCTAAATCCTTCTGGAGCCTGCAGATGGCACAGGTGCTGGGACTATCTCTTGGAGGCTGGGGAGTTCTGGTAATTGCAGGGCTTGGACAACCACACCTCTCCGTATCTGTACCAAGCCATACAACACAACCTGGGCTTGAGAGTGAGGAGTGGCAGGGAAAATGAAGAACAATGCACAAACTGTGTTGCGGTTCCTTCTTGCGTGATACAGATGATCTTTTAATTGTGACTTGACTTTTTATTTTGTTTGCATCCTGGTCTAAAGTTATAAAAATATATTTACTTTCTGTCAGCTATTGGGAGAGCTGGCTGTGGTATTCTCTTTCAATTTTTACCTTGTAAATATTTGTGAGTTTAACCAAGTGCTGTGTCTGTTTAAGCTTTTGTTAGCACTTCCAGTGTGAGGCAACAGAAAGCAGTACTTCTGCCAAAGTTTTTACCCACAGGAAAAAAAATTACCCATGCTAGCTGTATGGCATATCATTACCCAGATTATCAAGAAGAGATAATTAAATTTATATTGAATGTCATGACAAGACTAAGCCTTTGTCCACTGTAACTGTAATTTCTTCACAGACAAATGCTAATGGGATTTTAGTAGCCACTTCACACAGTTTAAAAAAAAATAAGTAAAAGAGAAAAATCAGATCCCCCTAATAATCCTGTATGAATAAAAAATATTTCTTGTTATTTCATAATCTGTGATGTGTGTTAGAAATCATTCTGTCTTTAATAGAGTTGCATATGACCTAGCAGTGAATGGGTATAGCATACACAATACCTCCCTTAAAGCTGGCCATGTTGCTTATAGGGATATTTTCTGGACAAAACGATCTACTACTTGTTTTGAGAGTAGTCAGGATCCACTCCAAATTAAAATGTTTGCTTTCAGCTATGCAAAAGTTGTGAAGAGACAGTAAGATGTGATCATACATAACAGGCATGCAATACTGGCTTCCAAATTACTTCCAAGGTTGCATCATCTTTCCTGTAGCCTTCTACAGCCATTCTACAGCTGCTAAAAGTTCTATGCAGTCCTATGAGCCTGTGGAAATTATTGTGGGTATCCACTGGGGACCAGGTCCATGGGAAGGAATAGGTGCCAGCTTGTGCAAGAGTGTAAATACTGGATTTCCTCCTTTGCTTTGCAATTGCTTCTTGTGCTGATGTTCACAGATGTTTCTTTGTGGATATAAAGAACAAGCTTTGAGGCTAACACAACCTACGCTTAAACTGATGGATTAAGGAGTCCTAGTGTGCTCTTTGGTCTGGTTAACTCCAACTGTTTGTAGTAACCCTCCCAGCCAATTTTGTCCCCATTCCACGCCTTGGTTTCACAGGAAGAAAGCTTAGGGATCTAAGCCAGGAGAAAGCCATCCAGATTGCTATAGCACGGAATCCCTAAGTGTGCCAGGATCAGCCCCCACTGCTCAATCCAAACTCTGCTAATTTCATTACTACACTGAAGAGGCAAACTACAGACACATATTTACGTCTGTATCCCCAACTCAGTTGGGAAACCCCAGAGCCTGCTGTAATTTCAGGCACATCCCTGATGCCAAGTCTGTATGTAAGGAAGTTTTCACACTTTCATCACTATTGTCTCCAGTTTTAAGTGTTGGCTTATCAGAACTAACCAGAGTATTTATGGTTTTATTCTATATTTTGGTGAATATGGAAAGTAACTAAAGGCAAATTTTTCTGGGTTTTGTAATGTTGCAGGGGAAGGAACTATGGCAAAACACAAAAAGCCTTGGAGAATAATTTTAGATTAATCCCATCTGCATGTTTTTTAACAATCTTGCTCAAGACATTGTTGTGAAACTTGCTTAGGCTAATATTTTTCTACTTGTACTTTATTAGTTTCTGCTTTATTATCAGTACATTAAAATTCTTTAAATTCCACTAGGATTGAAGGTCTGAGCCAGTTCAGTAATGGTATCTTGTTATAGAATCATAGAAAAATATAATTGAAAGGAATACGATGATACTTTGCTTTTAGAAGTTCCTGTGTCCCTAATCTAGCAATATCCTTCAGGTATCTGGATGTAGCCATTAAAATCAATATACGAGAACTTGGTGATCTTGGGCATTTTTTCTTATTTAAATTGAGAACCCAAGTAAGAAGTAAATCACCCAGTGCCCTGGTTCCTCACGAGGTCTCCTGTGGTATCAAGTGTAGTCAAGTGCAATGAATAAATAAACTCCATGTGCTATTACCAAGGGCTAATCTAAACTGACTATTTCCAATGAATTATTTAGTTACCAGCTGGAAGAACAGATGGTTTCATTGTCATTTCCTTTCTGGTTAATTCACTTGTAACAAAGAGCGTATGAAATACAGTGGTATGACAAGGTTTTTTAATCCATCGGACAAAAATTACGTAGTGAGAAAGCAGGAAGTTAGAGTGGGTGTTTGACTTGTAAAGGCCCAGTTTGGAGATTCGCACCGTATATTTATTTATGTTAGCGTATGTCGTGTTTTCTTCCAGCAGATCCTGGAGTTCCGGTGCGGGTTTATTAAGGCCAATCCAGTTTAAGTCAAAGGAGGTTTTACCTGACTTGTAAGGTAAATCTTGCACTTCTGTAAGAAAAACAGGAGGAAGGGGTCCCTCTACTCCCAAGACCGGGCATCGGCCTACGGGGAACGCTGCTGCGCTGCGGACGTGTTGCCACGACCTGCTGCTACTGCCACCCTCCGTTTTGTTCCCGCTGTAGAGTAGGGCCCCCTTGTGCACGCGTTCGGTACAAGCCGCGAACGGTCTCTCGGCCAAGGGCGTCAGACCCTGGAAGCAGTCGCAGCGGTCGAAGGCTCCTCCGCCGGGGAGGTACGGTCCTCACAGCCCGCGGCCAGGACAGCGGGAGCGCCCCTGACCCGGCTGGGAGCACGCTCGGCCGCCCTCCCGCGGCTGTACGCTGTGACCGCTGACCTAGGAGCCGGCGGGTGCCCAGGTGAGCCCGCCCGGTCCGCGGGGCTGGGCCGTTCCCAGCCGGGGTCGGCCTCGGGCCGC